TACCGTTACTATTCGGAATGTGCTGTAGGGTCTTCGAACTGTCACATCTAGCCAAGAAAGAGCTGTACTGAGTAAAATACAGATAATGACTAGGACTGTACTAATAGTGAAAACTATTATGATATCAACGTCGTTGTATTTATGGCATATTTAAGGTCGCTGTCAGCAGCATGTGTTCTATAGCTTCAAACGTTAGGGCGATTAATAGGTGAAAAATTGAAAAAAATTAGCTTATTTCAATAAAATATCCCTGCATTTTCCTGGAGGGATCCGTGAAAATAAAGCGTGATCTCGTTCAGAATTATCTGTGTCCAGTTCGAAACCAGGCACCTGTCGAATATAATTGAGAAGCGTATCGCTGAGTTAATTTTCTGAATTTCTTTATTTAAGTTGGCTATTTAGGCACGCATTAGCGTAGTTGGTTGAGGCTCTATGATACAAGCCGGAAGGTCGCGGGTTCAAATCCCGATGAGGTCACTGGATTTTTATCAATTGACCTAATCCTTCCAGCCGCACTATGGCCCTGGGTTTTAGGCCTACTCAGCCTCTAACAGAAATGAGTACCAGGAATTAATTAAATAATTTTCCTGGGGAGTAAAGCGCGGCCGGCGCGTAAGGCTGACAACCTTACCGCCATCTTTGAGCCGACTGTCTAGATAATGTGGGACTCTCAACGTCTCACAACCCAATGGGTCCTCACGGCCTGGTACAGGGATAGCTTTACTTTACTTTTACTTTTATTTAACGACGATGTATCGATGCGTATAAAGTAGATGACAGAATTATTAATGAATGTGACGCAACTGGAAAGGTAGGACTGGCAGAGGCAACCCGAATTACTCGAAGAAAACCTGCCCCTGTGTCACTCTGTCCACCATACATCCCACGTGACCTGACATTGGATCGAATTCCTTGTCGCTGGCGAATAAACGCAGGGGCTACGGCAGGCTGAGCGAACTAGTTCCTTGCCATTATGCTCTGCGTTGTATTTTGTCTAGGAGCTACCGAGTTGGTTCTATTGCCGGCATGGATAATGTCATAATATTGTAGCACGTACAGCCGTTGCTATGCAATAGACAGCCCGTTTCTTGGTGGTGAATCAGTGAATATGTTCCAAGCACAACGAATCCCAACGGCCGTTAATTTCGGTCTTCTAGACCGGAGCCGCTGTTTCCTCGAAATAGCTCCTCAATTATCATCACGTGGCTGGGTGGACCTCGTTCCAGACCCACTACTTCTCAGAAAATCTGGTAACACCGGGAATCGAAACCGGACCTCTGGATCTGTAGCCAGGAAAGCTGACCACTAGACCACAGAGGCGTCCTTTTTTTCTGCCTTTAACCGCCTGCTACATTACTGACGTGAAGTTTTTATATTATGTACATTTTTAGCATATAAAAAAGATATTCTTGAATTCTGATAAGTGGCTGAGAATATCGCTGTAATGAATATTTAATAATGGGGAACCTGCACGCTGTCGAGGTAGGGTTACTCCCTGTCATTAGGACGTAGCGCCTCGAGCGGAGAGAGACGGAACTACAGTTTATTATAACCTAAAAACCAAATGTTCTCTCCCCAATTCATTCAGGAGCTAGTCATGCACTGGGGAACGTAATCCACTTACAGAAAGTGTTTTATAAATCATGAGCAAAATTTTCCTCTATTAAAAGAGAAAAGGTTCGCTGGAACGTAATAACTTTACTAATTAGTTGAATACAATCTCTTCATTGTTTTTCAACTCAATGTCAAAGTAGGTTACAAGACAAAACGATTTCTTACAGATACTTTATTAACATAAAGACCTTCATGTAGCCTGCAGAGTAATGGGAGGCACAGTGACACAGAATACAAGACTTGATTTACAGGATGGAAAAATGAATTTCCTTCTCGGTTATCATATATATTTAGATATCTAGGTAAAATGTAAGAGATACAGTTGTCTCTGTGCTTAATTCCGCATCACGCCATGAAGGTGTATCTGGGAGTGTAGGTACAGCTCCACGCATTCCTGAACTGAGCTGGACTAGTTTCACAGCTGACGCGAACTCTTTGAGTAACAGAAAAATCTGCCTGAAATCAAATTCCGATTCGTCGGTTGTCTAGCCCATAAAATCGGAAGGTAAAACTATCCCCGTAACAGGCCGTGGAGGCCCAGAGGGTGTGAAACGTCGAGGTTCCTGCATTTTCTAGGTAATCGACTTGCAGATGGCCGTCAGGTTGTCAGCCTTACACTCCGCCCACCATTTAACCCAAGAAAGGTTCCTGGTACTCATTTCTGTTAGAGGCTGAGTCAACCTCAGGGCCATAGCGCGGCTGGAAGGATTAGGTCAATCGGAGAAATCCAATAAACTCATCTGGAATCGAACGCGTGACATTCTGGCTTGTAGCATAGTGCCTCAGCCAACCACGTTACATCAGCCACAGTCCAGCCTATAGCCTAGTCAACATAGTGAAGCTGTTCTGCATCTTGCGTGTATATTAGATCATTTATTTAAAGAGCATTTTTTAAAATTAGTAGGCATGTTTTCATAAGAACCGGTTTCAGACCTCTTCAGGCAAATACAGACGATCATGCACGCAAACGTAGACATGAGAACTTCACGAGACATAGGGTTACTAAAAATTTTCTGTACATATTGTTCATTTGTTTTTGGAATCTTACAGTAACCAAATAAGCCTGTTTTACGCCATCAAATTGGCCTATAGTCGTAAAGCACTTATCAGCAAATGTTTCCAGCCAGTTAAATTAGTACAAATATTGCGTTTTTGAATATTATCTATCGTCCTTTTTTTTTTTTTTTATAAAATACCGTCCTGTTTATGTCTGAAAACACAATATTTCGGTGACTGAATTCTGTCTCCGTTTTCAGGTATAACCTACTCAGGTGGGCTCAATCGATAGAGCTTGTCCTTATCTCCGGACACATGTGCCAGCTCTGTGAATCAGATATGAACCTCTTTCTTCTACCGGGAATCTATTCACTCCCGTCCAGCCAGTCGCTTTATCAACTGAGCTATCCAGGGTCCTACAAATACTCGTAAGGCCTAGCTCGAAGACTCAGAAGAAGAAAATATTATGGGTAGATCGGTGTAGAAGGAAGATGTTTAATTTATTCATACAAAAGTAGCCTTGGCAACACTGCATAATCGAATTTCCTATGTATCCCTTTCCAGATACGAACAGTGAATCATTTGAGTGAAGGGAAGTTCTTTGTCCTATTACTTAAGAATATCTGGTGGGAACAAATTTCGTGGTCAAATTTCCAGTCAGATAGCAAGTATAGTGATATCACCGCCTTACTTGATTCGCGGTTATTTAGTCGTTTCCATAGCAACCGCGTCAGCTGACTCCTCTTATATCAGTGAAGCAGGACATTCCGTGCCTACGGGACCCGGTGCAACTGCTCCCTTCACTCACCCCATGTTCCCACAGCCACCACCTTCCCAATCAGGCATACTTGGAGCAGAATACCTCTTAGAAGCTGGTAGTAGCTTTGCTGCTCAAGAAACTCCTAATCTGTTTTGGAACACGAAGTTTCATGACCTTGTTCACAGGTGTCCATCGCAGTATCCAGTTCACAGCTTCACACAAAATATCTGTTTTTAATGGTACCCTACCATTGAGGGTCTCATGGGGTAAGATGGAGCCCTGGCCAGTCACTAATATTGGGCCCCAACCGCATCCCGAAAGCCAATAAATATTTGAAAAATTATATATGTATAATATACAAAGGATTTAGAGTGTTTGAAAATTTGCACATTGCTTAAATTAAATTTGACAATAATTACAATATTTACACGAAATAAGAATATAATAAAATCTCAGTATGGTCATAAACAGTGCTATCATGTGCGACATAACTCTGTGTAGCACTGTGAAAGTCAACCGACGTTTCGGAGAAACATATCACATTGGCAGCCTTACTACCTGCTCTCTGCTGGTTTCTTTCATGGCTTTCACGTCGACCTTGAAGATGGAGGCTTATGTTCCTCCGAAATATTGGTTAGAATTTCACTGAACATGGCGTTATATGTCAAAAATGAAACAGTTTTTACATAACCTTGAAAGTAGGAAGACATGGACTTCACGTTCCGGTCAACTTATCCCACGAGAAAGAGTGTTCGGTATGCAATGACTACGAGAGAGGGAGGGGCTCAGTCGATAACCAAATAAAGAGCAAGTGGGCTGCTTTCTGAGTCTGTCATAGCTCAGTCGGTATAATGATTTGATTATGGACTGGTTGACATTATCACAGTCCGACTCCTCGACACAGCCAACGCTGTGAGATCATCAAATATCCAACTCAGTATGGTCATGTTTGCAAAATTTCTCCTCCGAACTTATCTGGACTCGAACCGGTGTCCAGGGCTTACAAACGCAGCGCTACTTCACCTGTGAAAAAGATTGCGTTTTTCTTTTCTCATTTTACTCCATTAAATTGAAAATGAAACCATGTCGCAATTTTTTTCCTCCCCCCTTTTCATCCTTCACCGTTCTTAAGCAATAAAGCAATCTTCTAATTTACGTTCCAAAATATCTTCCTTCTCTTTACTTGGAAACATTACTGAAATACCACCCAACCACCACAGCTACTCGGCGGGTCTGTGTGACAAGTAAGGGGAACTAGTAGACAAAAAATATAATATAAAAAGAGATAGTAACAGTTTATTTTTAAATAAATAAAAAAAAGGAATGATGAACAGGGATTTGTGGGCATGGCCCTCTTGGTACTTAGTACCAGAGGGGCGTGACGTGTACAAACGGGACGATGAGAGGTTGCTAAGCGATGGCGAATCAGAGATGCTTATTCCTCCTAGTCACTTTTGTGATTGGGTGATGTATAAATGTGGTGGTGGGGGTTGAATCTGTGAGAAATGGGGGGAGAATGGGGAACAGATGGTTCAGAAAATGAAGCCAGAATCATATGCAGGCCGTGGTTAAAGTGTGCAGTAGCAGCGGGAGCTCATCGGAGACCTTGCCGAGTAAAAAAAAAAAAAAAATACATTGTAGCAAGCCGGGCGAACAAAACACATGTGCGTGTGGGAACTCAGACATTATCTGCGTTAGACGATAACAAAAACAAAGCGAAGCGACGGTGCTTGTTAGTTTCTTAGTCGTCAGTGACAGAGTTTTGTATCTACACGCATTTGTGTTCGTGTGGTGTGGTAAACACAAGCTGTGAAGAAAGTCATCGCATTTGAATATACTATCTTGTGTTGTGGTGTCAAAAGTCGTAACTTTCACGTGACAGACTTACCTTGAAGAAGAGTCAGGACAAATAAAACTCTTTTAACAAAGATACATAAAAATTAATTCCAATATAATTTGTTTGCTGTGTGACATATTTTTTTCTCCTTTTCGGTGTTATTTCGTGACACAATTTACTGAGAGGACATACAGCAATACAAATTTACGAATTAATACCGGAAAAATTGTCCCAAAGAAGATAATAATTAGTTTTCTTGACGCGACTGAACATATAAGACGTGCGTCAATATCAATTTATGCGGAAGTTCATATTTGTGGTCGTAATATCGAATCTACAGAAAACGTCAGAATACAGGAAAAACGTCACTATTAGTGGGTTAACGATAATAATATCGGATAATTATTAACGAACTTATAAGATCTGAAGATTTATAAGATAATTTACGATAGTCCTATAATATCACAAGAGTAATAATATTATGACTTTGGTTATGGACAGACATTTCAATCCACCGCCCCCAAATTTCGCTACCCAAACTCAAAATCCAAACACAAACAGTAATTTAGGGCACCTATTCACACGGATGTGCACTGCGGGCGCCTTAATTCCCGGAGCACAGACGTGTCTACCTACAGCCGCTGCAATCTCTCCGTCGCTTACAGCGTTCCAATACGCATTGCTACTCCAACATCGCTACCATAGCTATGCCAACAATGGACTGCTACACCAACACAAGACGGCAATCTCGCAACAGCAACATACACCAGGAGCTTGTTTCTCTGGCGTTTTTCGGCCCTCCGAAGAACTTAATGATACTGGGAGGGGCCGAAGGGACGATCGAGGACTCAGCAGAGCCGAAAGAGATACAGATGGAGTCCTGGCAAGTCCTGAAGACAGGCTGGATTCGGGTAAGTTGACTCAGTATTGTTTTACAGCCTGATTATTTTTGTAAAGTCTACTAGAAGCTGTAGGCCCTGTCTCGTTTCGGCATTCAGATGTCCCCCAGTTTCTGTATAAATGAATATAACACAGCAAGCCACGAGCAAACCCTGGACGACATCAAGTATACCCATAATATATTTGCAGAACCTCCTCATCAAGATAGACAGGCGGCACAGAATCTGCCCTACACAAGAAGGACCATAGGAGTACGGACAGGAACCTACGTGGTTTAAAAATTTTAACTATTGACAATAAAGGTTTTTTAAATAACATCTAGAAACTTTTAAAAACTTTACAATACCAGGAAGCTGCTGTGATTGTGAAATGTTCGACTTTATGCGTTCTGTGCTTTATAGGATATAAGTGTATGTATTTTAAATCAAAACACCTCTTGTGATGGTAGTTTTCAGTTTGTAATGATGTTCCCTCTGAAGATGGTCCGTAGGGACCGAAACATGTAAGGAAGATAAGTTTTCAGGTAGTAAAAACTTATATGTCACATTGGACGGAGTATAACACAATTCCGTTACCAACGTAAGTTAACCTTTTAAAGAATGAATTTATTCTAAATGTTATATGAAAAATTCATTCCGCAACTTACATGAAACTTATAACCTGTCCGTTACAAAGATCAACGAGTTGAGATTATTTAGGGAAATAATTCCGTTGAGAACTATACAGACAGAAATGCACTCTGTGGGCAGAATGCAGTTTTAATATGTTAAACCAGGCTGGGTTTTAAGGACGTAAACATCAAAATCTATCAATTATTGAGTGCGTAAAAATATCCGAAGAAAACTGACTAAAAATTAAGCAAATCCCTTATTCTGTAACTAGCCAAATACAGGGTCTAAAAATTAAACGCTTATGATCTGATGATATGCTGTCTAGCAAGGGCTATAGCGCACCACAAGGAGCGGTGATATATTAATATGAAGGGTGGAATAATGATAAGCACGGGAAAATTTATGAAATTCAGAGAAGAATCTAGTCACCATTTCATGGACCACAATTCTCATATGAAGAAGTCCGGGATGGAACCCGAGACTCTGTAGTAAGCAGCCGTAAAAGATACCATATTCAGATAAGGAAGATTTGAGGGTTTCACGGCGTAGACTATGAAGAATGCCGTATTCTTGGATATGCCTCCCTGTAGACCGTGAAGAACTGACGTTTCGGAGTAATATATCACCTCCATCTTCGGGGTAAAAATCCGCCAGCTAGGAAACAGCTTGAGCAGGTGGATTAAGAATATTCTGCCTCCAATTTTAGGGTAGAAAATTGAACGTTCGTACTTGTGTACCAAACAACACGGTATCACATACCAGAAGACGGCCATCTAAACACTCGTTGCTGGAGAACATCAGATCATATGAGACTAGCCTATGTAAACCGACGTATTGTTTCCTTAAGACAATCACTCGTCGATTTGTTTCCGTCTCTAAGTCAACGCAAATTTTATTTTAAAATGTCATTATAATTATAAAATTAAAATGTGATTGTAAAGACATTTAAAATAAAAGTTTATATTCTATTAGAGACGGAAAGAAGTGGACTAGTGATGCATCAGTTCAACAGGATGCTGAAATATATTATTACCCTTAAGAAAATTTAAGAATTTAAGATCCAGTAGATAGGCTATATTACACCTATAGGCCTAAAACCTGATTTGACCATAGAAATTCTAAATTTTTTCCCAAACATTGTATTTGTGTGTTTCGTACGATTCTCAAAGTAAACAGTTGGTCTTTATAAGGATAATCGATGTTTTCGCTCTGAGGTAAAAATTGAATTTGTAAATATTAAGATATATAGAAGAAAACGTATGCTTGGAAAATTTAACACTTGGAAAAAGTACTGCCTGTATACTGAGAAAATTACAAACAAGCTCTTAACAAGCCTAATACAAAGCAGTTTCCTTGAAAAGGTGACACTTTTCGTTTGACCAGACTGCGCTAATATGTGTCTACGTATCCACGGTCCGTCGATAAATGGTGAATAAACAATTGTTGCATTAGCACTTAACACATGTTTCGGCGATAGATGGCCATCTTCAGGTGTCTTAAATGCAACTAAACACCTGAAGATGACCGTCTATGGTCGAAACATGTTCTGGGAAGTGTTAAATGGTGAAAAAACAATTGTTGCATTATTGACGGACTGTGGATGCAGAGACGTTTTAATTAAAGATTTGCACCAGGATCCTGAAATAAAGAACTGCGGTAATATGTTTTTTTAAATGGTTTGTTATTACCAGAAACTGCAAATGAATGTCGGTAAGACTCACGTGCACACGTTCAAGGCCCGAATTTTTATTCTTTTATTGCTAGTGGGGTGGGACTAAGTCCCTTGTACTGTGGCCACTTCTGGCCTATTGTACCAACCCAAGATGATAGGTGAGGGTGATTGTGGAGCAATTGCTGGAATGAATATTGGCAGGGGAAACTAAAATACTCGGAGAAAACCTGCCCCAGCGCCACTTTGTCCACCACAAATCCCACTTGACCAGACCCGGGATCGAACCAGGGCCGCTGCGATGGGAAGCCAGCGACTAGCCGCTTGAGATATGGCGCGGCCCAAGGCCTTAATTAACCCCAAAATCTCTATTTCATGTACCTATTAGTAATAGTGATTTGAGACACCACGATCTTGAAGAAGGAATCAATTCTGGCCTCTGAAAACGTTACAATAGCTCCAATATTTTCTGGGAGATGAGCAATATACTACAGAGCGCCTTATCAGAATCAAGACAGCTCAGAACAATTTGAGGCGAGGTCAAAAGCTGAACACAGACAGACGGGACGGAGGATATAGGACCTACACAGTGATTAGCAACAGGCTAGACGGTCCAGATGTTGGAGTTAGTGCCCCGCTGAAAGCAATGTTTGTCTACTTCTCCAAGACTGATTCTAGGGCTCACACAACCTCCTACTCAATTGGTATCGAAGGTTATGCAGCGAGGGCGTGAAGCTGACAACTCACCTCGAGAATACGTGCACCTATACAGCCACTCCCCCCGTATGTCTTAATGGCATAGTATTTAAGTAATTAAGCAGAGGGGCAATTTACTTTTACGTTTTATACATGATCTACCAAAAGATAGGAGCCGGCATAGCGAGAGCTATGGGCTGGGCGACCGAGGGAGCGGAGTTTGAGTCCTGGTAGGGTCAAGAATTTTCTATTCTCCACGTCGTCCAGACCGGCTCTGGGGCCCACCCAACCTACTATTCGGTGGGTACCGTGGACATTTCCCCGGGGATAAAGCAGCAGAGGCCTGAAGCTAACCACTCATCTCCAGGTACCGCCGTTGTCAAGAAACTCTGGATCTGTATATCCAATCCCCCATAAGCACAGGGGCAATTTTACTTTCTTGTTACCTACCAAAGAAATGCGGGATTTCAAACACCTGCAACTCAGAAGGAAAACAGGTGTGATGAAGTAGGATGTGAGGTTTTGACACCGGTGGTTATAAAGAGTTCAGTCCTCTGGGACATAACGCCGTGTAGTCCGTTGAAATTCAACCGATGTTACAGAGGAGCATATCGCCTCCATCTTCGAGGTCAAAGAATAAGTCAATCAAGATCCCAGCGTGGAAGTAGGTGGCAAGCAGAACCTGAAGATGGAAGCGATATATTCCTCCGAAATATCGGCTGACTTTCGGCAGACTACACTGCAGTATATCCCAGAAGATAGAACTCTTCAAATATGGCTATATTTGTACTTGCAGTGTAATCGTAAATTCAGAAGTTTCATTGACTCGCGTTGCGCGCGCATTTCAACTGTACTTAACGGACAGCAGCTTTTATTACGTGTTCTGAGCGACATGCAGAATGTCTAACGTGAAAACCAGCGTCATTTTCGGTAGGTCTTATCAGACGCTCTGTTCCGCAAATTAGTGCCACAGGTTTGCTTCCTGTTCTTCACTGAAAACACTCAGTAACTGATAATGTGCTTATCATTATGGAATGCAGTTTTGAAGTATTTCGTACAGAAACATGATATTGCTAGTGGGGTGGGACTAAGTCCCTTGTACTGCGGCCACTTCTGGCCTATTGAACCAACCCCAGATGATAGGCGAGGGTGATTGTGGAGCAATTGGTGGAATGAAGATTGGCAGGGGAAACCGACATACTCGGAGAGAACCTGCCCCAGCGCCACATTGTCCACCACAAATCCAACTTGACCAGACCCGGGATCGAAACCGGGCCGCCGCAGTGAGAAGCCAGTGACTAACCGCTTAAGCTATGGCGTGGCCTTAGAAACATGATAAGAAGGAAACGTGTTTCTTTATCCAAAGGCCACAGAAACATTAAAATAATTGTCGTAAAACATACTGAAAAGATTACTAAGATTAATAAACTTAGATGCATGACAATGGGGAAGTAGCAAAATAAAAGTTTCCCGTTTTCAATCTACAAGTTCTCTGAAGTCGTGTGTTTTTTTTTCTGAATATTGTCACGTAGTAAAAAAAAAAAGTAAAGCTATCCCTGTACGAGGCCGTGAAAGCGCATAGGGTTTTGAGACGGTGAGGATCCCACATTATCTAGACAATCGGCTCAAAGATGGCGGTAAGGTTGTCAGCCTCACACGCTGGCCGCGCTTTAATCCCCAGGAAAATCATTTAATTAATTCCTGGTACTCATTTCTGTTAGAGGTTGAGTGAATCCCAGGGCTATAGTGCGGCCGGAAGGATTAGGTCAATTTAAAAAAATCCAATAACTTCATAGGGACTTGAACCCGCGACCTTCCGTTGTATTGTCACGTAGTATGCGTGTAAATATAGACGAGGTATGAATTAGTGAATCGATTTATTGACCACTTATACACAAGGTCGGAACTACAAGCAATTACAGTGCCACGGCTAATTTCCATAATTTACAAATCACCAAAGGATCCGCCAAGCTTTTCACCAGCCGTTCCCTGGCAACGGCTTCTAATAGTAGAGTTCCTCAGATTCGCGCATTCA